ACTTTTGCAACTTTTACCTATTCCTCAAAATTATTGATATAATATCTTTATGGACTTCATCACTTGTTTGTCACGAATATAGAGGCAAAAGGAGTAAGTATAGGTCATAGTGGATCCGTTGACGAAATATGTGCGGTTGTTGGCTCTTCAGAAGACTGTCACTGCCTCAAACTTAATTGCGGTCTACTTGGAAAAAGTTTTTCCTGATTTGGTTTGCTAGAAAACATCGTTAGTGATCGAGATTCAAAGTTCACAAATGGATTTTGGAAGAGCTTTGCAAAGGCTATGCAAGTGACTTTGAAACTCTCAAGTGGAGATCATCCTCAAATGGATGGGCAAATCGAGCATGTGAATCAGGTGTGGAGGATATGTTACGTTGTAGCGTTGGTCAAAGGCAAGGATAGTGGGATCCATATCTTCCGTTGGTAAAATTTGCTCACAACAATAGCAAACACAGTGGAACCAAGTTAAGTCCTTACTTTGCCATGTTTGGAAGGCATCCCTAAACAGCGGTGGAGTTGGGATTCCATTTGAGTAAGGACGTTCAAGATAAGCTTGATTCAAAGATGACTAATTTGGCCATAGAACTTGATGAGATTCTAGTGGTGTGCAAATGGAATTTGCAAGTAGCTCAGGATAGAGCAGAGAAGTTTGCTAATGAGCATTGCCAATTCTAGGAATATAAGGATCTTGTTTTCGTGCGAGTGATCTTTTCATCAAGTGAGTAGCAGAACACCATAGTGCCTTTATAGACAAGGAAGAGTGATAAACTTTTCCCATCAATATGCTGGTCCATATGAAGTGTTAGAGTGCATTGGTAAAATGGCTTATTGGATGTGGTTACCAGCTGGGGTGAAAATTCATTCGGTATTTTATATCAGCTAGTTGAAAGGTGTACTATCTTGGAGTGACGGGCCCAATGCCTCCTTGATGTATACGCCTATGGAAGATGGACTAAGAGCTTGAGCAAAGTTCCCTAGAAAGGGTGATCACTGATACAACTCGTCCTTGGGACAAAGACTTTATTGGGGGGGAAGAATTGTTAGGCGTCAGCTTTGACCACATGGTCAACATCAGAGATTTACACTAGCAGCAGTAAGACTATCCTTCGAGGGGGAAGCTAGAAAGGCTGGAGGAGTGGTAGAAAGCATGGGTACTGTGGTGACTAAAAAGGAGGTTTGTTGGAGATAGTGCCCCCTGGAGTTGATCTTGCAGACTGCACAAAGGGGACTTTGTTATGATCCGGCGCAAAAAGACAGAGATCTAGTTGCCCTAGACTATGATATGCCACCTCTTAAGGTTCCTCACCACCCAACCACTCCTGAGCTACCTCAAAAGTTCCACTGCACCACTGCTCCACTGTGAGCCTTAGGGTAGGTTTTGTCCCTTACCCTAATATGCCTTAATATACCCTCCTTTGTCTCAATTGCATGCTTCCCAGAAGGTTTGGACCCCATCACACACCATACCGCCCATCTAGCATGGCTAAAAGCCTCCCACACAGGAACCCCAATGGACATGGATCCCCCAGCCGTGTTGTCCCCTGCACCTCATATGCCGCAGGACCGAGATATGGAGATGCATCGACATCATCCTCCTGAGAGAGAAAATGTAATAGTTATAAATGCAATAGAACAAGAAAGAAAACTTATGTTGAGATGGATCTTTCTTGCCTGTGTAGAAGTTAACCTCTAAAAGTCCTTGATGTTTCACAAGAAGAGATGCGATTTAAGGCTCATCTGCTGGGACTGAACACTATCAACATGCTCAAGGTTCGCTCCATATGATAGCTTTCACTTTCTTTTTCTACAGGTTGCCTTGTATGTCCAAGGATACATAAGGTTTGCCATTTCTTCTGTCCTCTTCTAGACGACAACGTTGGCAATAGCGCATGGTATTATGCAGCTCCGTCATCAGCCTAAAAGTTAGTCGTTTCACAAGAAGCTCATATAGCAATTTCCTTTTACTGTTGGGGCGAGGGGAAAACGAATGAGGCCACGGGAATTGGAGGTGTATGAGAGCTACATCAGGCTGTCTCCTAACCTCATCTTGTTTTCAGGACCGCAAGGTCGTAAAGATTTTGATTCAATTCTCTTGGCCCTCGCGGTGTAGATTTTCCAGGAGGCACAATATTGGGTGAATGTTTACAATGCAGTTTTCATGCCAAGGAAGCAGTAGAAGGGAGACAAGTTTGTTAAGCATATGCTAATTTCATCCAAGCCACTCGAAGCATTCAGTGCCAAGCCATCATCTCTCTGAGTGCTATGATACAGGGGGTGCCACAAGCTGAGGCGTGGCGGCTACAGCTGGGTCGGGAGGTTGAGCTGCATCGGCAGCAGGTTCGGGTAGTTTCTTCTTCTTGCTTTTCTTGGCCTCCTCGGCTGCTAGTTGCTCCTGGTATTGGCGGTTGAGCTCTTGCACTAAAGCTCTCTCCTCTTCATCCTCTTGGACAATCTGTGTCAAAGCCGCAATATTAAACTATGTCTCAAGTACTCGCTCTTTCTTTCTTTCTCACCTTGTCGAGCTTCAATACGTCCCTCCAGATGTTTGCTCCTTGTGGGCAACGAACGTACCTGGGCAAAAAACAGCCTGAATACACGCCTTACTTAGCAAGGAGTGAATTTACTACTCTTGTTCGTAGAGTTGCTCCTCAATAGGCGACTGATATTCGCACCGGTGCTCCACCCACAGATTGCTTGATTCTGGATCATCCTTTTTGGCATACCTGCAAAAGAACGAGAAGAATTTACAGCGAGCACCTCCCGAGTACGCATCACATTGTGCACCTCCTGACCAACGACCAGTCAATGGACCGACCGACCGAGCCATTTCGCGACACTGGACCAGGGTTTAGACGAAAGGGTGGAAATACTTGACACCCAGAACAGCTGCAGTCAGCCCTAGCGGTGTTGTCAGCAAATCACTCGGCTGCAACGCAAGAGTTGATCAGAAATGTAGTTTGAACAACGTGCGCTCTTTCACCTTGACTCTGTACGCTAGCAGGTCATCCTGACCGGTGTAAAACGCGGGCGCCTTCTTCTTTGGAGCCATTGGTAAGCCCCAAGCGGCAACAGGCGTGGCACTACCTTTTAATGCGAAGAATATTCACATTCCTTTTTTTTAACACATCAATTCCTGACAGCCGTTGAGACGAGGACGAACATAAGCTGCTCAAGACCGTATTGCAACTTCCCAACGGCAGCACTTCCATCGCTCTGGAGGTCACAGCACAGCCCGCGAGCCTCGTCCTCAATAGACTGGTACCTCGCAGAGGCGGGAGCTTGCTCCTCGATCACTTTCTCCTTGGCAGCCTGAAACGCTGCTACAACGTCCCCAATGCCTACACAGCCGCTGCTCTATATAACCGGAAAATTGCTCGTAAAGGCTTACCCGTTACAAAGCTGTCTGAAATTGCTTCCATATCAGTAACCATATTGAGCGCCCGGCTCCTGACCACAAGAGCTTTGCTTAAGCAGTCCTTGGGCCATTCAAACTCGCGGCCATCGCTTTCTTTCGCTCCTGATTCCTCTGAGTTGCCTTCCCGGAGGGACCTGCTCAATAGCACGAGGTGCGACATGCAAACGGCGCACAGCTCCGATAGTCTCTGCACAAAATCCAAAGCTCTAGAGCTTGAACGGCAAGAGAAAAGAACAAAGGCCTTACGTGGACGCCTTCTGCTTTGATCGCTTCTATGCGATCCCACGTCTTCTGTATAACCTCACTGACAGCCAATCCTTCGAGTGTGGTGGTAAAGCTAGCATTTTAGAGGCGACCATGCGTACATGTGAGAGACAAAAGCCAACAAGCATACCTAGTCGCCATTTCCGCAGCTTTACTGACACCAGCTTCACGTAGTGACTTCACCTCACTTCCATCTAGCAGCGATTCTGCTCCAATTTTCTTACCTTTATCACCATCGGCGGAGCAGTCACCACCATCTCCAAGACTCAACACGCGAGGAACCTGCTTGCACAGCTCGTCGAAAGCAGCGCGCTCTTCCGTAGACATTTTTGATTTTGCTCGGTTGCAGACCAGTGCGTAGTGACTGGAAAGAGCCTCCAGTTCCTGAATGCAGCGCATCTCTCCATCAGACGGAGGAGAGCCACTTGCTTACCTCAAGATGTTCTGGACCCCCGTAAATGTAGAAGCAGTGGTCAAAACTTGCATCTTCTGCTGCATTCTGTCGGTTTTCTGCTTGGTCCCCAACGCCGTCGAGCGCCAGAATATCCAGAGTCTCCTTCCCCACGAACTCCAAAGCCTTGAGACTCTTGGCGGTCAACTCCCTGCCGCTCTACAATCTAGACAAGTTTACGACGTCCAACAAACTTGAGCTCCTACCTGGATGAGCTTGGGAGCAAGAGCACTTGCCTTGGCGCTCAGGCCCTCGCTGTGAACGCTACCCGCAAACACTTCGGCCGAGCTCTCAAGCCTGAGTAGATGATGGTGGAAGTGTGAGCAAAGGCGTGCACACGTTTGCATACCTGTGGACAAAGCTCATCCCTCCTTTCCAGGCATTTCCCAAAGCCTGGTATGCCTCGGACGCCAAGTTCTCCACGGAAGAGTCCAAGACCTTGAGACCCTGGCACATCGCGGGGCTAGTTAGTGCTAGATTCACCCAGCCATGGGAGTGTACGTACGTGGCCGATGCTGGAATCCCTACTGGCACCCTCCAGCCTCTTGAGCGCATCCCTGCGTAGCCTGTCGCTGGGAGAATCGTCGTCTGCGCCTTGCGCATCCTTGGCACTAGTCTCCTCGGCCTTGTCCGTGAGCGATTCAGCCAGCGTCGACTGCAAATCAGCCATGCCCTTGGCCGCTCCTTTGGCTGCCTCGACGGCCTGCAGCACACACACATGGATCCACCAAATCCGAGCTTGCCTCGCACTCACATTCTTGGAGATGCCTTCCGCTGCCTTGTGCAGATCCGCAAGAGCTGCAAAGCCCCACGATCCCCATCCCCAGCTCCCCTCCTCCCGCTGCTCCGTCATGGCCGACAAGAAACAAAACCCTAGGCTATGCTATGCCCACTTGTGTCATTACACTCTCAATCCAAGCAAGTTACAACTCTGGGGAGGCGGCCACCGGAGCAACCCGCCACGCCTGCCTTGACATCTTGAGCTTGTCCACCTCTTGCGATTGCAGCTCGCTGCCCTCGCCGTCTCCACCGCCGTCTCGTGATGCCGACGAGCCAACCCACATCGCATTTGAGAAGCAGCTCTCGTCGTCGTCACCACCCAGCACATGATGGTGAGCAGCGGCCGCCGGAGCCGCAGCGGGAGCGGCATCGTCAACGGAGGCGTCTTGGTCGCTCGTGCTTGTCGACGAGTCGGAGGTTTCCACAGTGGGCTGGCCGAGGCTCACTTGCAAGAGCTTGTGCCGCCGCTCCAACACGCCCCTGTTGAAATGCGGCGGGGACGTTCGAGAGGTGGGCGACGCTTGCTTGTTTATGAGCTTGTTGAGCACTTTGTTGGAGGTGGCCACCTCCCCGCGCCCTGCTGCCGCCCGCGCTGACACCAAGCCGCCACCTCGTCTCTTTCGTCTGCTGCCTTGCTTCACCCTCTGGAAGCTATCGTTCCTCGTCGCGGGCTCGGCCTGGCTGCTGCCCTCCTCCATTTCAAACAGGTCGGACACATCGGCCAGCCACATGGTTTGCTTGTCCTTCTTCAGAGCCTGCGCACGCGTCACCAGGCGGTGTAGCCTGGCCTCCGCCGCTTGCGTGTCTGGGCTCATGGCTGCTGCAGTTGCATCCAGTGCCTGCTCTGCACGCGTCGAAACACCGTCCTCGTTGGCGATGACCGCAAGCCGGGAGCTTTTCTTCTGCGAGCCACCACCCTCGTTCAAGCCTCTACTCGTTACGTATAGTGCTACACGACGTACCTTGCCTCTGGACACCGCAGCTTCGTGTGGCACCACAGGTTTCAGAGCAGGAGCATACAAGCCAAAGGCACCGTCCGGCTTGCATCTCTTGCGAGACAGCTTGTGTACTTTCCATTCCTCGATCCTCGACAGGCACCGGCCGTCCAAACAGAGCTGAGTGAGGCACGTCAAGAGCGTCCGGATTTTGTAGCGGCTGCACATACCTTGCCAGGGTCCGGAAAGAAGCTGAACACTTTCTCCCGATAGTCACGAGCGTAGGTGACGGGATTCCCTTGGAGGCAGAGCGACGAAAGGAAGCGCAAGCCGCCAAACCTCTCCAGCTCGCCAAAGTTGGAGATGGTGTTGTGCGAGATGTCGAGATGGCGGAGTAGGACAAGGGTGTCGATGCCCCTGGTAATGGAGAGCGCGTTGAACCTGAGGATAAGAGTGGTGAGAGAGGAGGACACCTGCGTGTGTCAAGGAAGTTGGTCAGGGAAGCCAAGCGTGTGACATCAAACCTGGTCTAGCCTGGACACGGACTGGATCCAGTTGAAGCCCAGGTCTAGAAACTTGATCTGCTTGCAGCTGCCAAGGTTGAGGACGTGCGTCAGCCTGTTCCTGCGGAGGTCGAGCACCTCCACAGCTGGTAGCAAGTGCAACGAGTCGTCCATGACGGGCAGCGCGTTGCAGGCGCACGAGACGGAGGCGAGGCGGCTCCACGGCTGCGCGCTGCCAATGTCCACCATCCGCTCGGCCAGGACATGGCGCAGAGCATCCTAGGTCCCCTAAAGGGCATCAAGGATTCAAGGTGGCAAAAGGCAATGTGGTCCACTTACCGTGGAGTTGTGGCAGATGAGCTTCTCCAGGTGGGGGCGGAGGTGGAGGAGGCCCCTGGCGGCGGAGGTGGACAAGTCGCAGCCCCGGAGCTCCAGCGACCGCAGCCTCTCGAACGGCAGCAGATTGATGGGCGTGGGATCCCGAGCAGGGGATTGCACAAGCGACACGACCTTGACACTGGCCAGCAGCCCAAGGACACGGCGGAGCAGCTCTAGAGCCCGGTGGTCGCCAAGGTCCGCGATGTAAGCGCGCAGGTAGTCCACGGGCGCCGCCGTGTGCAGCTGCTCCAGCTCCTGCAGCGAATCCAGCCGCGCCTGGAGGTAGTGCAGGCCCAGCGGGTTGAGCTTGAGCACCCTGCTCCCGTCCAGCAGCGCCGCGACGTTCTCCTCCACGAAGCGCGCCAGCATGTCCAAGTACCTGTCGCCCGTCACGATCTCCATGGCCGCAGGCAGGGCGGCCTGGAAGCCCGACCTAAGAGAAGCGAATATTCCACCGGGGCAAGGGTCGTGGCCGTTTGACGAGTCAACCACAAGCGCTTGACACGCGGAGTCTTACTTTTGGAGGGCGTCGCCAATCGCCATGGCGGGAGACGACGACGCCGCAAATGTTCGTGTCAGGCTGCTCGTCAAGGCGGTCCCGGTTCGGAATTACCTGGTAGGTAAGAGAGCACGAAGGCCCCCTTCATTTTCACCTGCTGCGTTGCCACCTTTACAGGAGGATAATGTTGTGCCCTTGCTCATGCAAGGGATGCAAAGCTTGATTGTGGATAGGTTTGTATACATACATATATGCCTTGTTACAAGTGGAGTCTTTCAGGCCTCCCAACCCGGTTGGGTACTTGGGTGAGTTTCTGGTGCGGAATGACCCCATGAGACCACCAGAACCCGAGAAGAAGACAGAATGCGAGCACTGCGCACACTCTCCGCCGCCGCTGCCGACTCCTCCAGCTACAGAAGCTCCCAAGACAGACGAAGCTACCCCGGACGGAGACTCCGCAGCAGCACCACCAGCATAAATAACGTTCAGCCTAGTCGTCGTCCCCATGAAAATACAATTCCCTTGTACGATGCCGTACGGAGCCGTGTGCCTCTTGACGTGGCGCCAAACATTTAAACATTTGAAGTCGCGCCTCTTGCCAAGCCCTAATATACAGGAGGATGAGGAGGAAGAAGAGGCCGCACAAGAAGCGTGCCCGGAAGCGCAGCAGGGTTTGCGGGAAGCGTAAGGGGAAAACGATTTGTAAGGGTGAAATGATCTGCAGCGACAGTGGCCTTGAGGCAATTAAGAAGCGCGTCGAGGTAGCAACCAGCAACAAGGAGGACGAGCCGACGTCCGCCACAGCGGGGGCATCAGCGTGTGGGATTTGCTTTACGGACGATAGAGAGAGGGGGAAGCTGGATTGTTGTGACCATTTCTTTTGTTTTGGGTGTATTGTGGAGTGGTCAAAGCTGGAGTCTCGATGCCCGATGTGTAAGCAGAGATTCATGACGATTGTAAGGTCCACTCATCCTGGACAGCCTGCCAGCCGAAGCCGAACCATTCATGTGCCTATGCGCGATCAGGTACTTGGCTTTCATGATCCACCAGCGCGATTCTAACTTTGGACTCCAGGTCTATGAGCCCTCGGACGAAGAAGTCCGGGATCTAAGCGATCCGTATGCAAACATTGTGTGCGTTCAATGCCAAGAGATTGGTGACGAGGGCCTTCTCCTCTTGTGTGATTTGTGTGATTCGGCAGCACATACTTATTGCGTGGGTCTGGGAGTTTCAGTTCCTAGGGGCGACTGGTTTTGCCAATGCTGTAGGGCTTCTTTTCTAGGGAGCCCCAACCTTAGCATTACTGCTGCTCCCACTCAAGAACATCAGCCTTCTGCCCACCAACATGCCCAGCAACAACACCCGCTCGAAACCACCTAAACAGCAAACGTGAAGAGGGAGAGAAAGAAAAAAAGAAAGAAGAACACAGCAGATTAAACATGGCTAGCAACTACATGGCATTTGCCATTTTATTAACTTTGGCGAGTACGGCTTAAGTTTCTTTCCAGTTGTGATGCTCCACCATGCACCGAATCCACGCAACTCCACCATTCGGCAGTTCGTATGGCCATCCTTCGGTCGCAACGACTCCATCGTAGACACCCCTTTCCAAACTCATGTGTCTTGTTGTTGCAACGTTGAGTGTGACAGTGCTTTCTTTGCCGCTACTCCCACAAGATTCAGCACCATTGTCTGAAGTTGCTGTGTTTACAACCTGTTGTTGATCCTGAGGACGAGCAACGTTACCACCGCCGTTATCCTCCTCACTGTGCTTCAACTCCTGAATAATCAAGTGCTGCTGTGCAGCATGTTGACGTTGATAGGCACTCATGCTCTGCCTGTAGTGCCTCTCAGAAGGAGGCATTTCAGAGTGGAGCTGGTGCTCATTTTTCCTTAAATCCGTAGGATTGATGTTCCTGTTATTATAAACCTGGATGCTTCCTCGTAATTTTGCTGCCGAGTCGATGGAAGCCCTTGTGTAGTGACGCCATGCGGAAAAGTAATCTATGAGCTTATGTTTCTTATACGCTGCCTCAGCAGACCAGAGTCTTTCCCTTCGCTTGTTTCTTTAAAAAAAAAAAGATAACAGGTTTTTTAGGCCAGCAAACAAAATCGTATCACTTAACAGACCTTTGATTTGCGTAGTCTCCCCAGGCATTCATTATCTCACGTATGGTCTCCCAGAATTGACCAGCTTGGATTAACTCCAGGCACTCCTTCAAGACTCGAACTCGCTCGTGATTATACCGCAACAGTGCTTTCCACTGGAGCCAAGCTTTCTTCAAGCATCTGCTCTCCGCGACTTTAGCCGCCTCAAACTCGTACTTTTGATTTGCTTTAATTCTCGACCAGCTGGCTCTTCTCCACAGCACAAATGAATTTCTTTTTACTGTCAGCATCCATTTCCACTTGACATGCCTGAATGTTCGAGATTGTGTGACCAGTGCTTGCCAATGTGACCAAATATAGCGCTTCAACTGCACCTTCCATTTGTTCAACAGAGCCATCGCGGTCCTGCTAAGCTGCGTTTTGCATTTCCAAACCAGAAGTATTCCATGCAAAAGCTCAGTTTTCTGCCTCCGTTCCCTGCACGATAAAAAAACATTGAATCGTAGAAAGGACTGTGACCACTTACGTCCGACTTGCCATTCCCATCGCCTCACGTTGAATTAGCCTTTGCTGATAATGCTCTTCTCGGCGAACTGCAATCCCTCTAACAAGGCCATGCCACGCCCATATAATTCGCTTCTCCAAAGACTGCAGGATGATAAAGGTGACTTGTTTTTGCTTACATCTCCAGAATGCTCCTTGTTCTGAATGATCTATCCATTTCTGAAGATATATAAACTTAAGTTAGTTCACAGAGTGTTTTCTCTTACCTTAAAACATCGGTAAACAAGGCACTGTGACTGATAGCGTGATTTCTTGGTACATGCTTGCCAGAAAGGAAAATAACTCTTTTTGACCATCACTCGATGATAGTATGAGATATGGGATTCCACACTTCTTAAGTCCTTCCTGAATGGAATTCAATAGTTTAGCGTAGCCAAACTATGCATGTGTTTACCTGCCACGAAACCCCAGCTTCCAGGTGCTCAATGTTCGCTGTGAAGACCTCCGTTTAAATGCCCAATTGCGCTCTCGAAGTTTTTTCATAATAGCACTGTGTGAATACCATCCCTGCATATCAGCTTGTGGACATGATTCACTGTGAAACTTATTGTCCTTTTTACCTTCAAAATAATGCTCGAAAGACGTTGACGATGCCAGCATGCCGCTGTTGCAGCTTTTTTGCTTTCCTTATGCGTCTCAAATGCTTTTAGCACCTGTCAGTGACGTGTTCGTTTGAGAAACAACGCATGGAGTCGCTCACTTGTCTTTTGATATGCCAATGCTCCTCTGTAAGTTGGTGGAACGATCTCAGAGTCCGTAACAACAAACGTTGCTCATGTAGGTGCTTCAACTGTGTCATGGTTACTTTTTCTTCGGACGACATGTAGGCTTCCATTGACCATGCGTTGAAAACTAGCCTCTTACAAGTCTTGCGCAACTTGTCTCTAGCGTTGGCATAAAGATTTCGTTTTTGCTGCTGCCCTGTCTTCCACTCCAAAAGCTTTCTAGCCACAGTTCTCAAAATGAACCGTCTTCGAAAGTCACAAGCTTTTTCCATTTGTCTCTTGCATAACAGATGCTTATGTGCTACACACTCCCAATGTCTCAGTGTCAAGCGGGCCGCGTAATTCTTCCTTTTGCTTGCAACTGCTAGCTGGACAAGTTGTAGCTTCTTTGAGCATTTAGTTGCATCAAACCTAAACATCATGATTTGTTACACCCAGGTATAGCACTTCCCACCCACTTTACCATTTAACGTATTGTTTCCGCTTTCTCCGTTGCATGAAATAAGTGAGAACCTTCTTTAGGAAAACGCTGTGGCTCACTAGCCGGCGCCATCTCGCAAATGTATGGAGGAGCTAAAACAGATATTAGAACCATTGGCAAGTTCCTGCCCCAATTCCAACCTGCTCATATCGAAGCTTTGAAGTAGCCATGGCTTGTTTTGCCCGGACATGTTTCGCCTTGAAGTTTAAAATGTTAATAATATCTACTGCCTTGGAAACTTACCATTCGGGTGATATCCTGCCATGCAAGAAACGCGTTCCTTGCAAACTTGTAAAACGCACGCCCTTTTATCTGGAATCAGCAAACATATGGTTTTTTGTTTTTTTTAAAGAAAAATTTCAAGGGAAATACCATTTCTTCCGCCAATCTTTTCCTTTTCATTCTTGTAACAAACGATTTCCAGGTACCATGAAAATGCTTCAAAAGGGAACGCCTACGAATTTCAGATGCCACTCTTAAACACTAGTGAAGTTAAGATCAGACAAATGATCTAGGAAAGCGGTTTAAGACCACCCACCTTTTTCTTGTGAGTGTTAGACACCCAGATATGAAAAGTTTTAAAAAGCTGTGTCCTGTTTTGACGTTGCTGGAGGAATGCAACTGAGAAAGGCGCACGACACATGTCAAATATTTGCTAATGTTTTTTGTCGCCTACCATTTTTCTCTTGAACATTCCTTTCCTTTGTAAACAAAAGCCAAAACTGAATTGCTGTTTGAAGGCACGAATATTCAATGCGGATTTTTAAACCTGTTAACTGTTGAAGCTTAACTCTGTTGTCCTTCAGCTAAAACGAAGTCAAAGTAGCAGTAAGTATCAAGAAACGGCCAGCTTCTTACCACATGTAGCCATCCAAAGAATGCCTTCTGAAAATTCAAAAGTCTATAGTAAGAATGTGCCTTTTCATTTGCCAAAGCCAGATCCTAAGCAATATAGAGGGTCTGTTAATAATGCTAGGAAATTTAAGGAATATCACCTTGACACCAGCTACAAATGTTTGCCATCCAATCCACACTAAGTTGTACAGCTTACTTTCAAAGTGGAGCATTCCCTGGACACTTATTTCTTCAAAGTGTTTTTTCTCTCTGCAAAGATGTGTCATATGATGCAACGCCTTGACTGTCAGTGAAACAAACTAGATCTGAATGGCAGCAAAGTGATATGACATTCTTACCTTGCAACCGTAGCTTTTTAGCAAGCTTGCAAAAATTGTGTTTTCTTGCAAAGTAAGCAGCGGTTCGAAAGTTAAGAAAACTCTTTAGTAACAGTTTTCTTGAAAGGTGATTCAATGCAAGTAGGTTATTTTCTCTTTGCCAGGCTTTCATTTTATACCAGTGCCTCCATATTTCAAAAATCGCAAATGTTGAGTGGCATGTCCAGCAGCGTAGAAGAACCCCACCAGTGTTCCAATTGTCGGGGCGCTTTTGCAATCCTTCCTGAACCTGCAACGGCCTAAACTTTGTGCATGGGAAACATAAAATTATACCCGAGCAACAAGCAGCTTTTCAGAATGTCTTGCACATGTGGACTTCCTCCACTTTCTTAAAAATGTCTGAACCATGTTCTGCATGTGTCCTGCTTCGAGGAATCTATACTTGGAC